ATGGGTGGATGGATGGATGGATGGGTGGATGGGTGGGTGGGTGGATGGATGGGTGGATGGATGGATGGATGGATGGATGGATGGAGGGATGGATGGATGGGTGGATGGGTGGAGAGAGCGTGCGTGCACAAGAGAGCGAGCTATGTCCTTTTGGTTCTGTATCTCTGGAGAGCCCTAACCAATACAGATAAGATTACATTCTTTTTCTCAAAAGCAAAGGACTTTACACTCACAGCACAGGAGGCAGTATGACTTCCTGCTCTCACTCATTCCCTTCATCCTGTCCCTGCAAATCCCATGAGGTGATGTGGAGACAGGCCAGGTGCATGCCGCACCCACAGTGGGTATGAGACACAGCCGAGAAACTGTGAGCTTAAGAGGCCACCAACCTAGCCAGGTGCAGTGGTGCATGCTATGCTCCCAGCTAATCGGGAGGCCAAGGTGGGAGGATCACCTGAGGCCAGGAGTTCAAGGCAAGCCTGGGAAACATAACGAGACCTCATCTCTAATTTCTAAAAAGCAAAAAAGAACACTAGCAGGCATCTGACAAGCAGTCTTGGGGGCTGCTTGCAAACCTGCTCAAGCTCTGCCTGGATGGAAGTGTTATCTTCATTTCCTGCACAGCAAACTAGTTTACGTTCTGTCCTGGATGGAGACGCTATCTCCATCATCCAAGGCTGTTCACTTGAACAGACATATTCGGGATCAAAAGCTGCCACAAGACGTGCAAACCACATCACACTTGCCCTGACAGTCACCATCTTTGACATTTCTGCATTTTCCTATTGGCCTCTACTGATACCCCCGACACACCATTACCTGGGGACCAGTGTACCAGGGACTAGGCAGCTGCCTCGGGGTGCTCACAGCCACACTGACAGCCCAATCTCAGACGATGTCAATCGAGTCACATCCCGAATGGAAACGTTTTTCAAGATTTCAAAGCAACGATCTCCCTTGCTATTTCAATCCCTGCAGTCATCACGCTTCAAGCATAGAGAAAATGCCCCGCCCCAAGGTAAGTGGCAACCACAAGCACCAGGCCGACAGTCACCTGTGTGAGCGTCAGGTAAATCCGGTCAGTGAGGGGCGTGATGACCAGCCTGCCGTTCAGGCCCATGTACTCGTAGCCATAGCCAAAGGTTCCCGTGCACTGGCGGATGGTCAGCTCATCCGGCTCCCGGTCCCAGTAAAACCGCAACTGACTTTCCCATTCAAACTCCCGGGCCTCCAGGATGCTGGATGGAAAGAAAAGTGGAGGAGGAAGTGGAAACCGTTAAGGGAGGTCAGAGGACCACAAAGGGTCCCTTTTGAAATGCCAGTGCCCCTAGAAAATGCCCACCTGCCTCTTATGAAAGAATCCACGATGTCTCTGGCGTGCACGTCGATGATGAGAACGGTGTTGTATTTTTTCCTGTCGTTTTTGCTCAGGGGCATGGTGATGCGAGTTACCAGCTCATCAATCTGCCGGTGCATTTTCTTGCCGTAGTTCTTCATGGCCTGCTTCTCCCCTTTCTGCACCTTCCGGAAGACGTCTTCCACCTCCCAGGTCCACCACACCTGGCTGGCGGCTAGCACCACCATGCCTTGGTACAGGAGCATCCAATCAACCCTGCAGAAAACGCACACCTGAAAGAGGCTCTCATCAGTCCAGGGACTGGTACCAAAAACAGTGCCTTCAGGAATTTATTTCTTTGATCTGGAGTGGGGGGGGGGGGCAAAGTAAAGGCTTTAGGTAAGCAAGTGCCTACATTTGTCTACCTAAGTCAGAGGAGTAAGACTTAGGAGTAGGGTTTTACCTGCCTCTGACAAGGTAGTAAATACCAGTTCGGGGTACCCCTCCCCACAAAAAAATGTTGCACGTACCTAACTCCACAGAAAGACGTCACATCATTTTTAAATGTTTCAGGCCAGTCGCTGTGGCTCCCGCCTGTAATCCCAACACTTTGGGAGACCAAGGAGGAGGATCACTTGAAACCAGAAATTCAAGACCAGCCTGGGCAATATAACAAAACCCTGTCTCTACAAAAAATAAATTATAAACTAGCCAGGCATGATGACATGTGCCTGAAGTCCCAGCTACTACAGGGCCCCTGAAGTCCCAGCACTGGAGCCGAGGAGATGGGGGCTGCAGCGAACTATGATAACGACAGCATACTCCAGCCTGAGTGAGAGAGCGAGGCCCTGCCTCTAAAAAATAAAATGAAATAAAACATTTGATTATAGGTTTTTAAACCAACTTGGTATTTTGGGTTTACTGTAAGAAGTTAAAAAAAAAAAAATTTCCGGCGGCAGATTGCTTGAGCTCAGGTGTTTGAGACCAGCCTGGAGAACACAGCGAAACCTTGTCTCTACCAAAAATACAAAAATTAGCCAGATGTGGTGGCACCCGCCTGTAGCCCCAGCTATTCAGGAGGGTGAGGTGGGAGGTTTGCTTGAACCCAGGAGCTCAAGGCTGCAGTGAGCCGAGATCACACCACCACACTTCAGCCGGGGCAACAGAGGAAGACCCTGCCTCAAGAAAGAAAATAAAAATTCCAACAAAGAATTTCGTCATCTCCGACCACACTGCCCAGGCTGGCCAGGTTGCATCGTGCTTTTGAATTTCTGCCAGTCTAAAAGGTGAAACAAAACATCCCATCCGGCCTTAAAGTGCGGATCCTGTGGAGTCGTGGGGTTTCTCCTCTTTTCATATGTTTATTGGCCACGTGGATTTCTTCTACAGAGGCACTAACTTGCGAAGCTTGTGAGTGCCTGGAAACACATTTAGGCAAGCTTTTTTTCTAAAGTGTGCTTAAAAAAGAATGGACTCAGAGCTGAAAATGCCTGATAAAGTTTGGCTTTGTGTCCCCACCCAAATCTCATCTCAAATTGTAATCCCCATCACCCCACGTGTTGAGGGAGGGACCTGGTGGGAGGTGACTGGATCAAGGGGGCGGTTTCCCCCATGCTGTTCTCATGATACTGTGTGTTCTCATGAGATCTGATGGTTTCACAAGTGTTTGTCATTTCCTCCTTCTCTCTCTCTTTCCTGCCACCTTGTGAAAAACGCACTTGCTTCTCCTTTGCCTTCCAACATGACTGCAAGTTTCCAGAGGCCTCCCCAACCATGCGGAACTGTGAGTCAATTAAACCTTTTTCCTTTATCAATTACCCAGTCTTGGGTATTTCTGTATAGCAGCATGAAAACAGACTAATACAATGCCAGTACTGGAAAAGGGACTGTGGATTACCATAGTCATTATCCTGATGACCTACAGTTAATGGCAAAATAAGTTTGGAAGAGTATAAAAAGCACATTGATCTTTGTTGTCTCATTTTAAAATTTTGTGGTGCAGCTAAAGCCTGAAGATTAATTTACAGTATCTATGATCCCTACACATCAGGAGAGACACAACAAAGATTACGAAGGCCCAGAGGACCATACCGAATTGATGAACAAAGATGGGTCTTGCAAAGGACAACACACCTGGAATCAGAAACAGGAAGAGGTGGAAGCTGAGGCCACAGGATCAGAGAAGATAGAATGATCAGGGCAAAGCTAAGAAAGCCTAGGACGCTGGTGTTTCCTGGGACTAGATACACCTGGCCCTAACTTCTCAGTGATGCCACATGTGTCAGCACAAATAAATCAACATGCTCATCTAGTCCCCCTGTTGGAAGCAACAAGTTCATGCACTCAAAGGAGCATCTGGAAGAGAAAAAGATCTCTTTCAGTCCTCAGGCTGCCTTCCCTCACTCTCTTCCACCAGGTAAGCACTGCCAAACGCAGCGATGCCCTAGCATAATGGTAGACATCATGCAAATAAAATCAACTGATATAGATGTAAAATTGACAGTATTCTGAAGCATGAAAGAGACTTCAAAACATTCAGCGATTGCTACATACATAAGGCAGAGATTTCTATCTAGTTCATTTTGAAATAGCATCTAGCGTAGTGAATAGCCCAGAGCAGGGGTGGAAGGAATATTAGTTAAATGAATGCTAGAGCCACCTCCTATCAGCTCACAAGACTAATTGTCAAATATTCAGGAATTTGGCAAGCTGGTTGTTAAAACACTTACTATTATTTCATTTAGCTTTGAAATCAGCCATGGCAGAAATATTTGCACCATGGAAACTGGCAAATGCTTTAAATCAAAGCTTTAAAAGAATTTTTATAGACACCCAGTTTGCCTGCATACCGCTGAACATATCTACATAAAGATGCCAACAACTTCTTGATATGCCACAGTACCTCAAAAACAGTAGGATCATAATCAAATAAACATTATGCTATTCTCTAATAATTTATTTTTAAGTAGATGTTTTCGCTCTGCAAATTAAAAAAGGCAGTGTACAAAATCAAGAGGATGGTGTTCTCATAATAACAAGAAAGATTTTATGTCTATATTAAGGCCCTGCCAAATATACTCCAACTTCATGGGGGATCCTGCCTCAATCTAATAGGACAAGTTAGCCAGAGTCTTCTCCAGTTGGACTGCACTCAGCTGTTAGGAGCAGGCCGGGCTCAGCATGATATCCTGAAGCCTCTCTAGCCACAAAAATCAAAGAATGATTGAAACTCAGTAAATATTTTAGAAACAACGTTACATACACATAATCCTACTAAACACATAGCTTCTGGTGGTTCGCTAAGTCAGTGGTTCACATGCTAAGGGTGCTGGGAATCTTCTGAGAGCTTGCAAAAACACAAATCCTCAGGCCCCACCCCCAGAGTTCTGATGGGCAGGTGTGGGCTAAGACCCAAGAATCAGCATTTCTAACAATCCCAGGGGCCCTGTGCTGCCATCAGGGAGCACACTTTGAGAGTACTGCACGGGGTGATCATGTAAAGACTGCTATCTTGCCCAGGTGCGGTGGCTGACGCCTCTAATCCCAGCACTGTAGGAAACCAAGGTGGGGGGATCACTTGAGCCCAGGAGTTTGAGACCAGCCTGGGTAACACAGTGAGATTCCATCTCCACAAAAAAGTACAAAATTAGCCAGGTATGGTAGCACACAACTGTAGTCCCAGCCACAATGAAGGCTCAGGTGGGAGGATCTCTTCAACCCGGGAGATCAAGGCTGCAGTGAATCATTGTGCCACTGTACCCCAGCCTGGGCAACAGAGCGAGACCCTGTCTCAATCAATCAATCAATCAAGACATCTATCTGTCCGCTAATTACCTATTCCAAAAACATAAATCTCATTTAGAATGTCAGTCACTCTACTCCAAGCACTTAAAATGAATCCACTGTGACTATGAAGTAGGACAGACCAATGCACATCCACATTCACAGGCTTACCTGCTTCTGTCCTCACAGTATCTAAAAATAGCCTCTTTGGTAATTAGTCTATTAGTTCGTCTCATTTCATTCAAAACTGCCGTCATCCAGTCCTCCACGCGCCCTTCAGCCCGCACGATCTTCCGAAACTCCATGACTTCTCCTTCTGCTGAAATCATGGCAGACACCAGTTTCTCTCCACTATCGCCGTCATGAAACCTCAGCGATGCTATGTTGTCGTACATCTGCAAAACAGGGAGAGGCGGCCCTGTAAGACCGTCACTGAGTTCTGGAATCAAAGACCAGCCGGTGGTCCTCCATCCATCAGAGCTGCGATGATGCCAGCAACAGCAACAGGTGCGCCAAGATCACAGGCAAGACAGATGTTGTTCAGCCACCTGCATGGTCATCCGAAAGACATTTATTGGGCACTTTCATTTACTCTGTACCGTGCAAAGATCTGTGGAAGACTGAAAAAGAAAGAAGCAGCAGCCAGACTCTGTCTCTAACACTGCTGGGATGGGGAGGTATCTAGACAGGAGCCAGTGGAACGTGGGGGAGGCGGAAGGGTGATTAACACCCCAGGCTGGGGAACAGAGACCTGTGGTGGAATCCCAGCTTCCCCAATGTCCAATCCAGCAACTAGGGGTGGGTTGCTCCTCCTCTCTCTGCCCGGAATAAACATAATCATGGCACTTAACAAGGTGGCTTGGAGCAGTCAAATGAAACAATCTAAGTAAATTGCTGGCACATTGTTAAACACTTGGCATTTGTTGACCATTATCATTGTTATGAATCAGAATAATATTTAGGAAAACGGGTCATTTGGGGCCCACCATATAGAACAAGGCACTCGCAAATCAGAGAGGAGAGGAAGGCAACAAAGAGGCTTTAAAGAATAAAATCAGGCTGGGTGAGATGGCTCACACCTGTAATATCAGCACTTTAGGAGGTCAAGGCGGGCAGATCATGAGGTCAGGAGTTCGAGACCAGCCTGGTCAATATGGCGATACCCCATCTCTATTTAAAATAAAAAATTAGCCAGGCATGGCGGCACATGCCTGTAGTCCCAGCTACTCAGGAGGCTGAGGCAGGAGAATCACTTGAAGCCAGGAGGTGAAGGT